TATATAAGCTATAATAATAATTTAATTATATAATATAATTATATAACAAAATATAGCTTAGCAGTAATAAAACAAGCTTGTAAAATAAGCATAACAACAATTTCTTAAATATTTTTCAATTCTATCATAAAAATTACCAAAAATAAAAAAAATGTAATTTCCATCTATCACAATTTAGCCATTCACTCCCAAATGTACTATGAAAGTTATTCCACTGACTATTATAAAAATTACCAAGAATAAAAAAGCATCAAACTTCCATCTATCACTAGCACTGCCTCTGCACTCACTACCAAGAACCTTAACCCTTTCGCTACAACAGGTATCACCGCGAAGTCTCTTCCGTAGAACGAAGCATCATGCCAATGATGGAAACACTATCATCGTGAAGTCTTTAGCATTCGAGGCTAAGTCTTTTGAAGGGAAAAAGAAAAAGGAGCATCTCAATAGCGTTTGCAATTCTTTGCGAAGAGTAACACTAAGAGTAGCACTTGTCTCAATTTTTACTCAATTTTTGTGACCTGGTGACTATAATCACTCATGTGTAGATGGCGTCTCGATGACTATAATCACCCGTAGTAGCGAAAGGGTTAAACTAAGCATTCCGTAAGAACAGAGTACTCTCTGGGCCTGTGTGGTCCCAAGAGACCTGTCTCCAACTCTGCACAGTATCTCCTGCTTGTCCTAGTTACCTGTTGTTTTCAATGTTGAAGTTTTTCGCGGTAATAGACGCGTTGATAGTATTGTCCAGACTCTCAGACGGGGGTATCTTGTTGTACGCCGGCCTTGTGCCCTCTGAGTCGATGATCGCCTCGTTTATATAACCCCCAGAATGCGGCCTGTTTGATGGGCTCGTTGGTGTGCTGCTACCACTGACGAGGGGGCAGCTGTCATCCTCACCGTTCAGTCCAAGAACGTCACGTCCACCTGTCAAACCCATCGCCAGCCGCTTTATCAGAGGCGGCTTGTCCGTTAGTCTCTTGTACGAGTTCAGTTCCGTTGGCGAGTTGCTCTCATCGCTGCTCGGTGTGCTCTGCTGAGAGATACTCTTTGGCTCGTCCTCGTTCGTTATAGGGCCGAGAACGTTCGTGAAGCTGTGCGTCGGCCGTAGACCCGGGATCGAGTTCGGTGTCTGGTTTGGTGCAAAGAAAAAAGCTGATTAATGTTTGTGGTACAACGCTGACGACGTCGGGAGACACTTTAATTGTAGAGTCAGAGAAGCCTGGTGGGAACCTTCTGCGAGTGAAAGTATGGATTTAATTTCCCTTACGATTTCCTTGCTTCGGAGGAATTGTAATGTCTCGTGGCTACATTGATTCTCATTTGCCAACGCTGACTGATACGATTGGAATGTATAGTGATTACGTTGGTGTTATGTATTGACCAACTTGCGAATAAAGTTTGATTATACGGGTTTTGGAAATTGAGTTGCACTTGCTGAAATACTTTCTATGACTTTATGGTGGTTTTCCATGAGTACGAAATATGTTAGCATATATTATAAAAATATATTATTAGTGTATACTAGGTTTTGCTTAAAACATGTTACTTATTTTTTAAAGTATAATTATATATAAATATACTTAAATATATTTTATTTTTAATTATTTCATTATTTTAAATATATATATATCTTTTCCATCTTTGAAAATATGAGAAATATTTGGTTTAATGGTTTAAATGGTATTAAATGGAAAATCAGATAAAAGAAAATTTTTGAATAAATTTTTTATGGCTTTATTAGATTATTTATGCTTCTTTCGTGTTATTTGTGTACCATTTAAATTATAGATATATTTTTTATATTTTCACAGATAGATATAATTAAGTGATCACTATGTATAATATATTAAAATATGTTAAGATATAGCTCAAAATATATGCTTTTTAAACAGAATTTATAGCAGTCAAAAATTTACCATTATTGTTAAAATTAGACAATTAATGATGGATATGGTAATTTTCTCTCCTTTTTATTAATATTTAATTGGAATAGAAGAACAACTATAATACAGGAAATAATACAAAATTTGAAAAATTTGAATACAGAATTCTATCTTTTGTAATGAGTGTTTCAAAATTCACGCAAGAAGTAATTTTTATAGAAAATACAGGTTTTTAATTTTATTTTTCAACAATGAAGACGCGTTGTTCTTTTGTACAGTGCTACATTTTCAATAACTAATAATACACACATTTAAATTGATAAGATGAAACGAAAAAAATAAAATAAATCCCAATCATAAATACAAAAAGATTTCATAAAAAATGTCTAAAACAAAATTGCACAATTTGTTATTATTAACAAAAATCAAAGAAATTTATACATATTTCCAAATTAAAAGTGATAGGAATCAACCAAATTATCACGATATACAAAGCCATTAGATACACTAACAGTCAGAACCATTACACAACATACACCAATCAGTCGCTAAAAAGTATTCTCCAAGGCTCACGAGAAGCTAAATCCATGTTCGACATCAAGGAAGAATCGTATTTCGCGCGCTAATCTCGATCAGTCGAACGCTCGTGACTCGTGCGCGCGATTTCTGCCTCATCGAGTCGGTCGCGGTGGAGGGGGAAGTTGGGCCGTCATGGCGGCATTGAATCGACGCAACGACGTTTCTATTTAAGTCTGGCTGAAAACCGCGGCGGACAGCGGCGTGAAATAACATCGTACGTTGCAGGAAAAAGCGATTGAGCGAAAGTGGCGGGGAAGAGAAGGCGTGAGCTCACCTTCACGCTAGCGAGTCGCAGCGTGGGCGAGCCGGCGCTGCCGAGCTGTACGTTCATGTCCGCCGCAGACGAGCCGCTTCCAGTTCTGGACGTGGGCGACGTCCGACTTTTTAGCCACGAATTCGACGACGAATTCCTGCAAACACCTCCCGCTCCGGCGATCGAGCTGTCGCCAGCTAGCGATTTGTTCTGTGGCAAAGGAAAAGAAAAACAACGGTTAAAAGTCGTTCGTGCTGTGTGATTCGCTGCGGTGGAAGGGCGTCTTAAGCTAGTGTTTACATTTGTAAGATCGGAGAGATCGAGGCAGCCATGTAGGTATTTTATGCTTCACATCGATCAAGATTGGCAGGTACTTTTAAGGTGAGTGAAGGGGTTTTAAGTATCGGGAATGTTGATATTCGTTTAAATTTTTTAATGTTAAATTTCGGTTCTGAGTATTGTTTTTATTGATGGGTTTACCGTAGGGAATGTGTAGTTTGAAAGTATTTGAGGATTTCGTTTATTTTGTGGTGGATAGAGGGCAGTTAGGTCTCTCTTTTGGTTTGGTAAAAAGAGATGGAGTTATTGCTAGCAGTATATTAGGTGGATTGAAATTAGTAAATTAATTTATGATGTAATTGTTGATATTTAATATTGCATTATATAAATATAATTAAATACTTAATACTTAATATCGTATTATATAAATATCTAGTAACATAAATGTTAAATTAAAAAAAAGTTTGGTATAGAAGTATCTTATATTTATAAGCTTGAATATATATTTTAAATAGTTTAAATGTTATTTTAATATAAAGTAGAGTTTATTTCAATAATATTATTTTTAGGATCTTTTATATGGTAATTTACCAAGTCATAATATGGTTAAATAAAAAATTAGTAGGTTATAAGTTACAGATTGCAAAGTTTTTACAATTTTACAAGTTACAAGTTAAACCACTAACATTATCAATATATTGTAAAATTGTTTAGTGCAAACTGATTATTGCATATTACAAATATCTCACACGTGTGTTTAATTTTTATTTTTTTTATTCTTATTCTTACATGTTTTGGAATAAACAAATAAACGAAACGTTAATCAGATATACAATAATTAATAAATCAATAGAACTAATAATTTTTCAAAAATTATTTATATCAACAAATCTCATATAATACAAACATCTGGCTTCAAATTTATAAAATTTACTCATGAAACTTTCTTTTATTACCAAATATATTACCATCGTGTAAGAAAGTATATTATTAACTTATTTATTGTTAACTTGTAATTTGTACAATTTTACTAATAATATTATAACAATTGTGCAAGTGTGCCCTAATAAATAAAAGCATAATACTACAACGTCGAACGGTATTTCTTAACTATAAAACAACGTAACAACACCATACCGTAACAACATAAAATAAAGAATTCAGTTTAATACAAACATTTGAACCACTCGATTTAAAAATTTAAACTCGAAACGAAACGTCAAGTATTTGCATAAACTATTCGACTTCACGTTCGATATTAGCCATTTTCACCCGACAACTGCTGCACAAATGCCTCGAAAATACGTCTCACTAAACCAGTAACGTAAGCATGCCTGAGGAAACGTGAAAAATAAAGCGAAGGGAGCGGTGTCGTATTGAATGTTTAACCTGTTAGGCAGTAAATGCCAGATGTATTGTGGCGCCCTCGTGGTGTTGCTTGCCAATTTTGACGCGGGATTCGCGTCCGTGGGTGTTGGTTTCAGCTGGTAACGAAACTTCGGAACCGATGAATGGTTTATCGACGGAATCTTACGATTCCCAGGACGATTGCGTAGGGAGAACTAGCGGACAGACCGCGACGAACTGACCGTTTACTTGGAAACACGATGGAGCCGAGAGACTTGGGTCGAATTTATAATTAACGCGGCCTGTAAATGGGACACCTCTACTGGAGACTGATGCTCCCATGAGAACGCGTTAGATATCGTTTCCACTTTTTACTGCGCATCGACGTCCGTGAACAAACATTTTTCTTTTTTATTGTGAATTTTGTTTGAATTGTCCCTGAATAAATTTTTCTATATCCTTAGGTACTTCTAGGGATATATTATTGTATTTATATAATTTTATATATTTTATTTTATATTGAATATGTATTATATGTGTTATTATATATTAAAATTTATTTTTGACAGATTATTTCTTTGGCATATGGTTTGGACAGTTATTCAGGATGGTTAGTTGTAAAAGTTTAACAAAGGAAGGGTCAGTTAAATATTATATCTGATTTACGCTTTGTAACATTTAATGAATTGCATTGGCTTGTAATTTAAGACAGTGCATAGGTTTTGGTTATCTTGTGTTTCTTTAAGACTAGATGTTAGAAAGTTTATTTTATATATGAATACTAAGTTGACTAATATGTTCTAAGAGAATAATTTATTTGTTTCCTTTGTATAATACAATATTAAATTAGTTTTATAAAAAAATATTGTATTTTTTTATAAGATTAACTAAATTAACAAAAATAATAGTTTCTGATTAAATTATTTTTACCAAATAATGACACTATATATTTAAATAGAAAAAAGAAAATACAATGGAGGAACTTAGTTGTACATAAAAGGATATCCAAAAAAGGATAATTGTTTGCAACAAATTTTATTAAAATAAACTTTCTTCCACTAATCTATTTAATACATTCATTTTATTACTTCACATGTACTTCCATTCATTTGAATTTTTCATATTCAAGGTCACGTGGAGATCATGTACCCATGAATCATCTAAACTATCACAACATGATAATGAAAGTATATTATGATATACTCGAAAATATGAAATATATATTTAATGAATATATTAAAAAATAGATATATAATTCCATCTAAAAAGAAATATTGGGTGTCCCAAAATTCGTGCAAGAAGTAATTCTGATAGAAAACACAGGTTTTTAATTAAAAATTATAAATATTACTCAATAATAAAGATGCCTTGTTCCTTCGTCTAATGCTGTATTTTTAATAACCCCGAACTGTTAGCTATCACGCTGTCTTTTATTTTCGTGAGCAACACTTCATCGCATAAATGGCGCAAAATTCGAATTTTGCGTGAATTTTGAGACACCCTATCAATGATCTTTAGATCTTGAAAGAAATGCGTTATCCATCACAGTATTTCCTCTGAAATTTCCCTGCCACCGAAAACAAAATGAAGGATCTATCATCCTCTCCTAGAAAAGGACACCCTGTTCAATCTCAAAATTTGTAGATCACCCTTCCACGTTATTTCAATAGAATTAAGGGAAAACGAAATTATTGGTGTAGATGGGAGTTGTACGTACCCACGAAGATCGATTCTCCTGTTTGTCCTTTCGATAGGGTGGCGATGATTGCGGTGAGATCACATCTTGAAGGATCGGTTGGCGCTGAAGCTGCGCCACGTATGCCATACGGAAAGCATTGCCGACAATGGTGTTTAACTCCTCCGCCTGCAAAAGGCACGAAAGGGAAAAATTTCATTTAGCTGCTGTTAGGTCAAGAAGAGGTGGTCCGATGTTTATAAAGTCCGAACGATCGACCTAGATGTAGCTAGCATACTAATTGATATTGTACCAAAGGATTCCAATTAATTCGCTTTTCACCCGTCGTGCCTCCATGTTCCAGTCTACATTGAGAATCAACCTCGAACTATAGACGATGGTCAATTAGGACCGGAGGTGGCAACTTCGCGTTCGTCGAGGTGGTGTTTTATTTAATTTGCCTGGAAATGGCTACGCCATAACGTTATGTCGGTTTCCGCCGCGAGTTGATGGCGTTTTTAATTAACGTCTCTCCACTGGTAATAATTGGTTACGTGCGTCTTATTATTTTCTGATCGCGCAGCTGCGTAATCACGTTCCGGCGTCAGTTTTCTTTATAATTGACTTAATTCCCTAGACGCGGCGCTTCGGTCGCGCGTGGCGCTGCAGCTGCCCCAGATTACGTTATAGGAACGACACCCAGATGCAATAGTAAAATATATTTAGAGTTATTTCATTAAAGAGAACGGCAGAAAGTTTGTCCTCATATTTATATTCTTAATTTTTACTTATTTTTATAAGTTATGTTATATTTAATTCGTTGTTAAATTAATTTTGTAAAGAACGTGTTAATATAATCGAAGGGGAAGTTAATTATTATAGTATACTGTGTTATTGCATAAAAAGAATGTTATGCTAAATGTTATGTCCAATTCTATAAACTTGTTTATGTAAATATTCTAATAATATCTACATATATACAGAAATATTTGTTGTAAACGGAACCATATTTCGCTTCTTTTTGTCTTGTTTATTTCTTCATATAGGTAGATAGGAAGTGATTCTTTATACAAAAATGAATAAAAAATGTAGGATACACCTTTTCCATTTTAAGCTTAGTTTTTGAGAAAATGGATTTTGAAAATTCATTGGGTGCGCATGAGTGCACCTACGCATATAGCTAATAGTAAAATAAAATTTGCCATGTGAGTAGGACTTGATTCTTTATTTATATCAAAAATATTATTCAGTCCAAATTAAATTTTCGAAAAACTCGGTTTCGAAAATCCAATGTGCAAGTAGGTCGCGATTCTTTAGGCAAAAATAAGTCGGAAATGTAGAATACAAATTTTTCAATTAAAACTCAGTTACGGAGAAAATCTATTCTGAAAATTCATACATAACCTCGAAATAGTTAATCGAGATACCATAATGTCTGGCATAAGAATATTTGTATAATATTTAAATAACATTGTCAATTTATTAAATTCGAGATAACAAGATGAAGATTTATCAATTTGTCAATCAAGTACCAAACTATACCTACTAAAAATGCACGCACGAGCACACATCTTTGAGACGAATTATCTCGAAATCTAAGTTCCAATTAAAAAAACTTTATTTTATTATTTTAATATATTTTTATTTTTAGGGAAGAATAATTCCCTGCTTTTTACATAATGCCATAATACAAAAACCAAATCATTTTTCATTTTCACGACAACCCTAACCTCCAACAAAATTTATGTTTCGAAACCAAAAGCCATGAAACACTCCGTAATGCGTATCACTCGATCAAAATATCCCGCGCCGACCACACCGTGCGTTTCACACACGTTCGGCGCGGTGCAGACGCGGCATAAGGGAAAGCAGAAGAGGAAGAAACGGACGCTGACTGTAATCCATACGACAGGGCCGAGGCGAACGCTACCGGAAGCGGGGTCGATACGGGAAAATAAACTACGCGTAGGAACTTTACATATGCCGGACGGATACCGTGGCATGTATGAAGGACGCGCAGGGAGAAACGCGACACGTTGCAAGAACGTTAAACGGAGAGGAAGTTGGAAGGAAAACAGAGACAAATAGAGAGAGTCGAGGCGAGAGGGAAAAAGGAAGAAGTAAGATGGAGGAAGAAAAAAGAGAAGAGGGATGCTAGAGAGTGCTGGGGTGGGGACAGGAAGGGGAGAAGAGGTTGCGGGAAAAGTGGGAGGGAGATAGAAAAATGGGGGAGAGGATGCTGCAACCGATACTATCTGCGGTGGCCGCTTGCCTAAGCCGGATATTCGAAATGGAAGCAAATGCGAGCGCGGCGCTAGTGTGCCGCTTGCATTCTCCGTACTGCGGCCGGAATACGGCGCGTTTGATATTCGCGTTTTCAGTGACGCCGCTCTGGCGATTGGCCGGCGCCGGTCGCCGACGCGAATTTTATTTCGTGCCGCGATGTCCGGCGACGGGCCGCGAAACAGGTGATCGGCGCTGGCAGTCGTTTCGCGCGGCCATTTAGCCTCCGATGCTTCGTCGCGGCAGTTTACGGTCCAGGTTACAGCGGATTTTATACCGGGGCGAAATGTGCGCCCGTGAAATCGACTTTTCGCTGATAACCACGTGGGCCGAAAATATCCACTGACTGCTTTCCTCGAAACAAGTGTGGACTCTTTATTCTTCGTTGTTATGGTATTTAACCCTACCTAACACTTCGTTTTAGGTTTTTACATAGCTTTGATTAGGAATTTTTGGGTATTTTTTGTAGCGGTAAGGTTTTTGAAAAAAGAGATTTTTATAAGGTAGTGGTTATACGTGATTTTGAATTTATTTATATGACTGTCTTTTCTTTTTTCCATTGTTAATTGGTGAAATTAGTAAATCTGCAGATGGGATTCTAGATTAGGAGTTTTAGAGTACTTTTGTAGCCAGAAGGTTTTCAAAAAGAAAGATTTTTAAAAGGGAATGGTTATACGTGATTTTAAATTTATTTATTTGGCTTTCTTTTTCTTTTTTCCATTGTTAATTGGTAAAATTAATAAAACTCCATATGGGATTCTAGATTAGGAGTTTTAGAGTATTTGTGTAGCGGTAAGTTTTTTGAAAAAAGAATATTTTGATAAGGCAACGGTTATACGTGATTGTAAATTTATTTATATGATTTTTCTCTTTTTATTTTTATTATCAAGTGGTAAAGTTGAGAATTTTATGGGTGGAATTCACGATTTTTTGATATGCGATAATTTCAAAATGGGATGGGAGCTTTTTGAAAAGAAAAGATTTCAAGAAATTTGATTGATTGGTAAAATTAAAAAGTTAGGAATAGGATTCTCGAATCGTTCGTATATTTTTTTTTACGGGATATTTAAACAAAAATTACCAAAAATTACGTAATGAAAAATATAAAATTAATTTATGTAGGTTGTAAGTGAAAAGTACATTTTTTGAGAGACTTCTGATTTCATAGTAAATAAAATGAGGTATATAAACTGGATCTAGAGGTGTCCTGGAGTAGATACATTTACATACCGTTATATTTTTGTTCGTGTTTCATTTAATTACGGTACATGAAAATTTATGCAAAAATTTCGTCGCGACTCCAGTTTCTAAATCAACTTGTTCTTTTGACAGAATAAAATCAGCACTTAAGTCTCGAGACTTTCGAGACTTTCGAAAGTTTCGAAAGTTTCGAGAGTTTCGCGATCTTACAAAGTTCCTCATTCGAATTTCGAGAATTTCAAAATTAGGTTTCAAATTAAATAAAATCTCTGAAATAAAATCAAATAACAATTTGAAATATATCACTATTATCACAAGAGTAATGTTAATGGTGACAATAAAAGTCAATGATAGATGTATTTAAATGTGTGCAATATTTAATTTCCTTTTGCTAAACAAAATCGAATAGAAAAATTTGAGTTTGACATAATTTTCAATGTCTCTAGTAATCGTTTTAAAATATTTTCAACAGAATAGTTGAAGGTTAATTATTGTGATTTTAATTAATATCTTATTTATTTATATTAGTCGTATCTTTTCTCTAAAAATATTGATTTGGATCATGATTTCATTTACAAGAAGCAGTGCAATATTGTACAAATTAATTGTCGTTATATTATTATATATGTTATTGTTGTAAGCATCCACATTTATCGACTGACACCATCGTCATCTATGTAGGATCTAAAATCAATTTGAGTTATGTACTGATCAATAAAAATAGAGTGTATACGAAAGGAAGATTACATTATCTCGAATCCAATGAGTTGTTTGTTGTTTAGTGTTTATATATTCATTAAAAATTGGGAAATATCACTAAAAGTTACTAGAAATATTACAAAGTAAAAACAAAGACGTAGGATGAAAAAGGTAACTGTACATAAAAGGGTATTTCCCTCCAATTTTGACAAAATGGAAGGTATTTCCCACCGATTTTGACAAAATCGAAGGTATTTGCCACCGATTTGACAAAATTGAAGGTATTCCTCACCAATTTTGATAACATTGAAGGTATTTCTCACCAATTTTGACAAAATTGAAGGCATTTCCTAGCGATTTTGACAAAATCAAAGGTATTTCTCACCGGTTTTGATAAAATTGAAGCTATTTCCCACCGATTTTGATAAAATTGAAGGTATTTCCCACCGATTTTAACAAAATCAAAGGTATTTCCCACCGATTTCGATAAAATTGAAGGTATTTCTCACAGATTTTGATAAAATTGAAGGTATTTGCCACCGATTTGACAAAATTGAAGGTATTCCTCACCAATTTTGACAAAATTGAAGGTATTTCCCACCGATTTTGACAAAATCGAAGGTATTTCCCACCGACTTTGACAAAATCGAAGGTATTTCTCACCAATTTTGACAACATTGAAGGTATTTCTCACCAATTTTGACAAAATTGAATGCATTTTCTAGCGATTTTGACAAAATCAAAGGTATTTCTCACCGGTTTTGATAAAATTGAAGCTATTTCCCACCGATTTTGATAAAATTGAAGGTATTTCCCACCGATTTTAACAAAATCAAAGGTATTTCCCACCGATTTTGATAAAATTGAAGGTATTTCTCACCGATTTTGACAAAGTTGAAGGTATTTCTCACCGATTTTGACAAAATTGAAGGTATTTCCACCAATTTTGTTATAATTAAACCTATTTCCCACAGATTTTGACAAAATTGAAAGTATTTCCAACCTAT